GCTGTGTGATTGCACTTCGACAGAGAGCCGCTCAGTCTTAGTTTCTCCTTCGAGTAGTAACATCGATCAAAGAGCGCTTTGGATGCGCTCTCCAAGACGTTTCCTATCTTGTTTGTTCTTGACAGCACTTGAAATTATGACAGGTGTAGTGCAATCCACACTGATTCCACAGTAAAAATGAGACTGCGCTCATTTGTCCAGCTGTAGTATCGAAACGACCATGGAAAATCATCAAAATTTCGAGAAGGAGCTTCAAGCAATGTTTGATTTGCTACATCGCGGTCGCTAGTTACGGGTCAAAATTCGACATTGGGACAAGAAAAGGCGGTCGCTGGTCGCGTTCAGCAGGTAGTCGCTAGTCACAGTGCATTTTGAATGTGAGACCGTCCGTGCCTGACAAAGTGGTCGGTAGTACCAGGCCGGTCGCTAGTCACGGTGGTCGTTAGTTACAGGTTTTACTGTATTTACCAGACGACCTGAAGTCCTGCCCTACTATCGCAGATTTCCGCGTCAAATTGGCTATTTGGCTAAAAGACAGCTTAACTCTTAATCATTGTTGTGATTTGCTTTCAAGCAATGTGCATAATCAGTAACTTGATGTTGCTGTTTTTGTTTTTTTGGTTTCCCGTTCTCGGGGCCTTCTATTCGGTACTCTTTGTAGTTGTACTTCTGTACTGTTGAGCTATCCGAATTCAAAGAAACATTAAAAAAAAAAAAGTACACCCATCAATGCAGGTGTGTATGTATATGGATGTGCATGCAAATTGTACCATTTCGATTTCAAATTTGACAGTGGAAAGGGGGATGCGTGTTGGCTATTTGGTCCACAATAATTATACAGTGAAACCTGGTTAAGCGACCACCCCAAGGTGCGAGCAAAAGGAGTCGTTAAAGCCAGGTGGTGTTTAGAACCAGATCCCACAGTGTATGTGTAGAACTGTGGGTGCATGGAGAAACGGTCGTCAACAGCAGGTGGTCGCTAAAACCAGAGGTCGCTTACACCACGTTTTACTGTAGTTCGTTTACAAAAATTGGACTTTCGCTTCGCCACTTTTTTGAACACTCACCAGTACTTCTTCGAAAAACTAAAAAATATTCAGGCAATTTCGGTTAATGGTGGCAGCCTGGTCGTAAAATCCCTGAAAAATCGAATTTGTAAATTCATATCGAGTGCTACATCAGTTGAAAGAGCATGAACAGCTGCAAAATCAAAATTTGGCTTGATCTCACCAGCCGTTCAAGAGTTATGGCCGAAAATGTGCCCGTGCTCGGAAAGATTTTTTTGTTGCACGCTGTCATTTGTTGGCAGCACTGTATTTGAATGTGAGCAGACCGTGCGCAACTTGTATCATGGAAAGACGCGAAAGTGTGCAGAATTTTGCTCCAAGTCCAAAAATCACGTTTTTTAGCCACGTATTGGGCTGCACGGCGGCGGGCTTCGCCCGCCACCTTGCAGCAGGACTTTTGCCAGCACCCTCGTGACGTTGCAGATATGTGGCTTGATTATTGTAGTTCACGTTGATTTAGTGACTTTTGGAAGTTTGAGTCGCGTCAATAAGTCAGGTAGGATTCAGTACTAGGCAGTAGTGGAACGTGAGTGGTAGTTTTTGCTGATTTTTGAGGGTATCCTGGATTCGGCTTGCAGCGCTGTGGAAACGGCTTGCTGTGGACGTCCCAGCACTGGATGTTGTATCAAAGGTACGACCTCGTAGCACGTGCTAAACCTAAAAAAATCAAAAATTGACTTGGGTCTGTGGGAGTGTGTGAGAGAACGCCCACTCTTGCCGTTGTGACAGATTCCAGGGCCACGTTGAAGGGCCCTATCCCGTCATCCATGGGTGCTTGTGGACATTCTTTAGGTTTGGATCGCGCGCATGGACAGAATGGGCAAGAAAATGTGAACAAATTGTACAATGCATTTGTTCGGCTCCTGGGTGGCTCGCACGCCGTGGCACTATGCCGGAATTTCTGAATTTTTACGGCCTGGAAAGCCTGTCAGCTAGGCGCAAGAACTTGTAAATCATGTTTTTTCTCGGAGACCCCCTTGATTTAGGCTTCGGCCTTTGGGGAATCCCTCAAATAATAATAATATTGTCCAGAGGGCCAGCATAGTGGCAGGACTGTGGGGTCAAAATTTCACTCAAATCCATTGAGAAACACCAAAGTTACGGTCAATTGAATGCCATATGAAGTTTATGGGTAGGCTGCCCCTTTAAGTGACTGCTTCCTTCTAGCATCCGAGAAATGCACTGGTCTGGTCTAGAAACTAGTTTTGAAATCTATGTGGTTTCGGCTATCAGAAAGTGCAATGCCAATAAACTTCGAGTTGTCTTTCTGAACGCTCGAACTAAATCCAACTCTGTCATGATTATGTTGTTTGTGTGTAGACCCGAACCTGCAGTGACGGCTGAATCCGGCGCAGTTGCAGCTTCGCCTCACCAAGCTACGAGCAGTGTCGTGCATGTGTCATCTGGTGGAGTGGACGACCAGCAAGCCCCAACTCTGGTATGGAAAACCACTTGTAGCGGGTCGCCTCCTGTGCTCAGAGGTCACTGTGCAAACTATGCTGCGGTACTACCTGGATACTGTTGCTGAAGATGGCAAGTCAGCCAGCAATTTCAAAGCCATTTCTGCCTCGGACAAAAAGTCATCAAGACTTGATGAGAGAGGGTACGTACAGAAAATAGAGGTTGCGTGATCCAGCAATAGTGTGCACTACAAGTCTCGCTGTCAGCCCGAAAAACGCACGTTGAAGGGGCGTATCAGCTCTGTCTGTCTGTGCAGACCAAGGGCGGCAGTGGCACTGACTGCCATACCGTGGAGCGTGTCACCCATGCCGAGTGTTCGTGTCCCGCTGGCAAAGGTCCCCACGGGTCTTGTAAGCACCTTGCTGCCCTATTTTACGCCTTTATCGACTCTACTCGATTCGGCTACACTAGTGACTTGGTGACTTGCACTGATAGACTGCAAGCCTGGAATCAGCCGCATGGGAAAAGGTCGGAGCCGCTGTCGGAAATAATTCCGAGACCTCCGGTCGGATGAGCCTCACCAACCACATCGGCATATCGCCCCTACTTCCCTTTGTCTTGTTGTCCAGTGTCATGTCAGTTGTCCTCCTTCCCTGATTATTCGTAGGGCTGTACTTGCTAATAAAAAAGAAATACCGATCACTGTCATGACTCTACTAAAAACTCACATTGCAACCTCGCCACTGGAGCCCGGACCGTCCGTTGCGCGCAACATCTGTCGCCGGTTTGGAATCGTGAACGAGAGTGTTTAGGAAACACCCAGCCTGAACGTGCTCAGTCTCTAGTCTTTGTTAGTCGTGAGTATTGTGTGAACATGCAGCCAGTCATATTGCCACACTGATTAGGTGTCTTGTGTGGTGAAGCATCCCGCCGGAACGCATGACTCAACGCCTGGTATTCAACATTACAGTGAAGTCTGAAAGCATGTATTGCATGGAGCACTGGTCCATTGGACCTGGTGCAGCTCCATCTACCCCATGACGAGCGTGTGTAAAATGCAGTTTATGCGTCTATTTTGCCGCAATCTGCAATCGTCTGCGGCTCTTGCATTCATCTCGGAAGCTGTATTCGCTTGTATCCGAACGATGGGTGGTACACGTTCAGGAAAAATCGAGCTTGCAATTGGCAGCGATATGGCGGCATTCGACTCTTTTCGAACTTATGCCACTGTATTGTCGGGGGTGAAGAAAGAGTTTCTGGATTCGATCGAACCACGCCTATTGAACTTCACCATGCTTCTGTTTTTTAGAACATACAATTAGCCTCAAGCTCTATGTTTTTTTGTGTGCAGCTGCTTGGCCCAACATCTTGCTAGTCCTCTTCTTCAGTCTCAGTACCAGCTCGGGGCGACTGCACCTGGTCACCAGGCATGCACCCGGGGCAGGGCACAAAGGGCCTTAGTTCTCCCATTTGTTTCTATGCAGTATGGCATGCGCTCTATTTCTTTCCTGGTGGCAGGCAATAGGAATTCTCCGAAGAACGGAGCACTGAAGAACAAACAGGCTAGATTTTCACCAAGCATAGCGGGCCAATGTATACACATTGATTCAACTGTCAATAGACTGTGGATAGCCGCACCTACATCGTCTACCATTGCAGTTTGTTACCTATCACCTATGCTCTCCCCCTACACTGGGAGAGAGTTATGGTTGCTCATGACAGTGCTCAGTTCAGATATGGGCAGAGCTAGTACAGAGCCTAGAACTCCCCCTAAATATATAGCATGCTATCTACTCCCGTTGAGTATCTATTCCTCGGCTCAAGAAGTAGTTACATAAGGTTAGGTCGAAACCCTGCAATGCACAAAAGATATAATTTTGAAAATCTGATGATAAAAGACAATGCACCGGCACCCTTGCTAGCGCTTAAGCGGTTAAGAAATGGCAAATTGGCAATGCAGCGAATAGAACAAACAGCAACTTGCCTCGTGCTATAAAAGGCGCAGCAGATCCATACAAAGTACATCACAAAGAAAAGAGCAAAAGGGAGTACATGTACTTCTCGAGCTGCAAGGAAACCGAAACTAGGGATTGCTCAGAATCGGTCACAAAACATGGCATGGAAGCATACAATACAGTCATTTATTTATTTAAAGAAAAAAAAGAAAGCATACAGCCTGCTAAACTAGGTAACTCTACAGGTGTTTGCGCAAGATGATGTAAGTGCATGTACGGAGCAAGTTGAAAAGCCTAAGGAAAAAAAAGAAAGCTAAAAACAAGAACAAGGACACGGGATCAAATGCGGAGGGAGAGAATACGGCAACACTACTTTGTCCTGTATTTTTCTTTTGCTGAGGAAGGGTGTTGGCTAGCAGTTGGTGACCAGGGATACATGCAAGTGGACGGGTGACAACTAAGACTGATCATGATGAATTGTGTAATGCGGGCATGACCAATATTTAATACACGAGCAAAGGGCTATTTTTTATGATTTTGCATTTGGTACCAAAAACTAGGAGAGCGGCATGCAGGGGTGTGTCGAACTACGTGCGGATTGAGCATCACCTGCCGAAGAATTTGCACAGGTACTTCGGAAGCTGCGACGCTCAATTATGCACAGCAACATTAACAGTGGGGAGAATAGCACGCAACACGCGCGTGGGTGGGTGTTTGTGGCCGCATGCGAGTGTATGTGCGTGCGCGCACATGTGTGTTCGTGCATGTTTATGTGTGCGCGTGCGTGTGTGTGTTCGAGGGTGTGTGGGTGGGTGCGTGCAGGCGCGTGTGTGTTCGTGTGTGGGTGGGTGCGTGCAGGCGCATGTGTGTTCGTGTGTGTGTGTGTGTGTGTGTTTGTGTGCGCGTGCGTAGGCTGATAGTCATGATGCACAGACACAGGGCAGCATGGCGATACCAGTAAACCTTCCAGTTACGATGAAGAAGTCTTGTACAGGTGAGCACGTCAGCGAGAAGAACCGTGGCCTAGTTTATGACATGCTTGCCCGAGGCCCTGGAGTACGGGAAAATGGATAGGAAGAGAGAAAGAAACACGGAAAGACAGACAGAATGAGATAGTAGGAGTGGTGCTGACGGAGAACAAGGCCGAAGATGACAACGTGCACTGAGCCTGTCACTTGACATCTTCTCACAACATTGCCTTGTCTCTGTCAAACAAGCAAGTCAAATCCGTGTAAAGCTAGAGATGTGTACACAATTCACCTGATCCAACGCGCCACTTTCACAGAAACCGGGGGATTGCGCCCTACTACATAGGGATTTTTATGGAAAATGTCAATAAAAGAGGCAAAAGACGGTTTGCCCTTATGTTGTAGTCTCTTGGACGCTGAGTCAACTGGGTTTGGTCCGAGAAGGCTGGGATGCAGCGTTCGGCCAGTATTCTCAATCGAACACGGTTGAGTAAGCGGTCACGTTCTCATGTGTACACCAGTCACCTGGTAACCATGCCTGCAGGCTACACATTTCGCACCAAGGTTCAACTCGATTGACAGGAAAGTGCCCTAACCATCTTCACGTGTTAGCCTGCAGAGACGGTGACCAGGTGACTGGTGCATGCCTGAGTACGTGATAACTTACTCAACCGTGTTCAATTGGGAATAATAGCTAAACGTTGCATTGCAGCCTTCTCGGACCAAAACCAGTCGAATCAGGGTCCAAAAGACTACAACATAAGGGTCATTTGCGTTCATCCATGCATTTAGAAAAAAAGTAATGCCGCATTTAGTGACATTTCGCCAACAAATCCCCATCTACTGTCGTGGACATGGAAATCTGGTGGCACGTCAAGCGGCCCCAGGGAGCTGGCCATGCAGCCCGCCGTGGATAGCGGAACATGCATTGTGCGCTGCAGCGTGCTGGCCGCATCGGATTAACATGACTCTGTGCACTGCACGCAGTGTGTGGAAATTTCTCCGAGCGGACACGACCTTCACACAAAAACCTGCTTCAAAAAGGGTGTCCCAACTTCACTAAGGTTCTCACACTGTGGACACTTTGTTGCACTCCGCCATACGATTATCATTTTTCCTGTCTGTGAAATCAAGGTGCGATGCTCTTGCGAGACGGAGCGCTCTAGCAGTACTTTACCGAACAGATCAAGGGAAAAGAGTACACATGCCACCCTGATATAAACTAGGAACCAATAAGAAGTTCCTACCTGCAATGCCTCCTCATTGCAAAGATGAAGGCGATTGACAGGGCAAATACGACGACACCGAATACAATCCCAACGCCAATAACTGTTGCGGACTGCACGCCTTCCTCTGCAGAATCATCAGTCGTTGAAGAATACTTTGATGCGGGTGAGGCAGAGCGCACCGTCACGCTTGACATCGCTGTCAAGTCTGCAGTCTGCATCACTGATGTTTGTGATTGAGGCGTTGCTGTGACTGTTGATGTAGTTGTGTAGGAACCGCATGTTTTTAGGGCAACAAAATGGCAAACAAAAACGAGGAATTCAGTAGCAGAGGTCGAGCATCAAGTTACAGTCAACTTGGCTAATAACGACTGCGGATATAACGACAATTCGCGAACAACGACAGAATTTCCTTGCCCAGAACAAAGTTCATTCCACCTGTAGACATGTAATGAGACTTAGGGTATAACGACACTTCGCGAATAAGGACACTTTTCTGATGCCCGGCCGAGTGTGGTTATACGCAAAGTTGACTGTACTTCTGACATGCTGGGTGGTGTGGTACAGACATACTGGTCGTATATAGAGTACACACCGAGCCAACCATGAAAGACACATACATCTTTGCACTTCTATTCGTATACAGACTGCACATCCAGCCTTCCATGAAAGACACCTGCATCTTTGCCCGACTAGAACAAATCCTGCCACAAGTCTTTCTAGTACATTCTGCAGAAAGGTGTTGTCACTGATCTAATGTTCATTTCTGCACCGGTAGATGCAACGCAGTGGTCATACAGTGTTTTCAGAACCCATTGAAGTGCTTGATGCACTCACTGAAAGTGCAAGGCAAAGAGAAACAGAAGTGGAACGTACCGTCAGTATCAGGACTTGTTGGTGAGACTTCTAAATAGAACACAGCACAGAACACGCACACAGATACCAACACACTAGCACATGTATTATAGACATCTTAAGTGCACATAGACAGTCACATACATGAGTGTGCACTCAAACATTGCCAGTGGCATTAGTGTTCACCGCCTGGCGCTAACTCCTAGTTCACATTCGACTGGGCGAGACGGGACGTGACGTGAGGATGACCGGGAAGCGACTGGACGGTCTAACGGCATTGAACGTGAATACCAGGAACGGGAACACAACCTTACTACCGTACAGATGGGGGAAGCCAGGGCAAGAGGTGAATTGATTCAACGTTTAATACAGCAGATGGGTGAAGACAGAGACCCAAGAGTACACAACGGTTGCAAATCGAGTGTGAACAGGAGACGTCGTCGTGCGCCGACAATGCGCCGACAACTCCCGATTCGTACGTGAGGACAATTTTAGCATTTTGAACATTACGCTTGTCACGATAACTCACAGAATGGCTGGCACGACTTGAGTTGAATTTTTTTGAAGATATGATCTTAGGCCACTTCATTGGACTTAGGGACAGCTCAGGAGCGTGACAGAGAAACTGTTCTATCATTCCCCGGGGCTAATATTTGAATGCCACCACTTTCAGGGCTACTTTTTTTCCATGAAAAACTGGTACAGTAAAACCTGTAACTAACGACCACCCCTTGGTGCCCGGAAAAGTGGTCTTTAGTGGCAGGTGGTCTTTAGTTAGAGGTTTGCACGGCGCGACCATATGTGGATCCCATTATATGATATGTATGTCAAAATGCAGATAATACAGTCCCGCACCACTTGCGCACTGACATTCTTCTTTCAGATCATACAACACTTGGAGAGAGAGAAAATCAAGTTTTTTATACACCGGAAGCGATACGACATGTCGACTCACTGGGTTTCCAGAGCAGCGCTGGCCTGGCCAGGCAGTGGACTAGTCACTATCGACTCCATCCTCATCTGTGTGCGACTACACTGGCAACAGGTATCGGTGTGTAGATCTACAGTGGAAACTCAGTCGCTCCGACTTGGATGTAGTGTAGCGTAAACTGCACTGGTGTGTACCAGTACGTGATGCGGCGATGTTGCGAGTTTTCCCACCTTCACTGTAGACTACTACAGACAGTATCCGCCATCGTATCCTGGCCTGTGTTCCGTACAGGTGAGCACATGTACCGTAGCATGCTAGCTAGCCAGTACAGACTGTCAGTGTGACCTGGTGAGCTGTGTGATTGCACTTCGACTGGGAGCCGCTCAGTCGTAGTTTCTCCTTCGAGTAGTAAATTCGATCACAGAGCGCTTTGGATGCGTTCTCCAAGACGTTTCCTATCATGTTTGTTCTTGACAGCACTTGAAATTATGACAGGTGTAGTGCAGTCCACACTGATTCCGTAGTAAAAATGAGACTGCGTTCATTTGTCCAGCTGTAGTATCGAAACGACAATGGAAAATCATCAAAATTTCGAGAAGGAGCTTCGAGCAATGTTTGATTTGCTACATCACGGTCGCTAGTTACGGGTCCAAATTCGACATTGGGACAAGAAAAGGCGGTCGCTGGTCGCGTTCAGCAGGTAGTCGCTAGTCACAGTGCATTTTGAATGTGAGACCTTCCGTGCCTGACGAAGTGGTCTGTAGTACCAGGCCGGTCGCTAGTCACGGTGGTCTGTAGTACCAGGCCAGTCGCTAGTCACGGTGGTCTGTAGTAACAGGCCGGTCGCTAGTCACGGTGGTCTGTAGTACCAGGCCGGTCGCTAGTCACGGTGGTCTGTAGTACCAGGCTGGTCGCTAGTCAAGGTGGTCTGTAGTACCAAGCCGGTCGCTAGTCACGGTGGTCTGTAGTACCAGGCTGGTCGCTAGTCACGGTGGTCTGTAGTACCAGGCTGGTCGCTAGTCACGGTGGTCTGTAGTACCAGGCCGGTCGCTAGTCACGGTGGTCGGTAGTACCAGGCCGGTCGCTAGTCACGGTGGTCTGTAGTACCAGGCCGGTCGCTAGTCACGGTGGTCAGTAGTACCAGGCTGGTCGCTAGTCACGGCGGTCTGTAGTACCAGGCTGGTCGCTAGTCACGGTGGTCGGTAGTACCAGGCCGGTCGCTAGTCACGGTGGTCGGTAGTACCAGGCCGGTCGATAGTCACGGTGGTCTGTAGTACGAGGCCGGTCGCTAGTCACGGTGGTCTGTAGTACCAGGCTGGTCGCTAGTCACGGTGGTCTGTAGTACCAGGCTGGTCGCTAGTCACGGTGGTCTGTAGTACCAGGCCGGTCGCTAGTCACGGTGGTCGGTAGTACCAGGCCGGTCGCTAGTCACGGTGGTCTGTAGTACCAGGCCGGTCGCTAGTCACGGTGGTCTGTAGTACCAGGCCGGTCGCTAGTCACGGTGGTCTGTAGTACCAGGCTGGTCGCTAGTCACGGTGGTCTGTAGTACCAGGCTGGTCGCTAGTCACCGTGGTCGGTAGTACCAGGCTGGTCGCTAGTCACGGTGGTCTGTAGTACCAGGCCGGTCGCTAGTCACGGTGGTCTGTAGTACCAGGCTGGTCGCTAGTCACGGTGGTCGGTAGTACCAGGCTGGTCGCTAGTCACGGTGGTCTGTAATACCAGGCTGGTCGCTAATCACGGTGGTCTGTAGTACCAGGCTGGTCGCTAGTCACGGTGGTCTGTAGTACCAGGCTGGTCGCTAGTCACGTTGGTCTGTAGTACCAGGCTGGTCGCTAGTCACGGTGGTCGGTAGTACCAGGCTGGTCGCTAGTCACGGTGGTCTGTAGTACCAGGCTTGTTGCTAGTCACGGTGATCTGTAGTACCAGGCTGGTCGCTAGTCACGGTGGTCGGTAGTACCAGGCTGGTCGCTAGTCACGGTGGTCGGTAGTACCAGGCCGGTCGCTAGTCACGGTGGTCTGTAGTACCAGGCTGGTCGCTAGTCACGGTGGTCTGTAGTACCAGGCCGGTCGC